TAATAGATTCCAATGACCAAAGTCAGGGAATATGTCGTTAGATAAAGACAACAAGATGAATGTAATATCCCGTTAAATAAATATAGTGAGATAAGATCCAGCGGGAGATGCTTGATGAGAAGTCCGACTAGCAGAGCTCTTATCTGGGTAGATGGGCTGCAGCACTTGTGTGTGAGTGTGTGTGTGGTCACATGATGTGCGTTTTCAGCGTTTGGTGTGGACGGAGAGCCGTTCAAAAACGCTGGGTAAAACGCAAGTGTGGACGCGGATCGTTTTCATTCTAAAACGCCGTTTAAAACTAAAACGCACTAGTGTAAACGGGGCCTGAGTGTCATCAGCATAGCTGTGGTAGGAGATTTGGTTCTTTCTCATTATTTGGCTTAGAGGGAGCCAGGGGCGGACTGGCCATCTGGCAAACCGGGCACTTTCCCGGTGGGCCGACGTACTTTTTGGGCCGGGCTGATCATCGTCTTATGATCTGATCAGCCCATAAAAGGCTTAGCAGCCTATGGTTTTTTTTTTTCTGCCTTATTAATTAACGCTGCTGTGATCTCTGTGTCTCTGAAAGTAGATGCTTTTTTTCCTGGACAGACAGACCGGGCCGGCCCATGTGACACTCTGCAGCCCATTGGCTCTTTTCGGTATTGACATTGGGCTGGCCCAATCACAAGCTTCTGTTTTGGACTCCGTGTGAGCGTGCGTCGTCTGTGTGTATTTGTCAAAATAGTCGAAAGTCAGAGAGAAGAAACGCAAGGGAGGCGCAGAGAAATCGCGGGAAATACACCGGCGTTTTATTTAGCGATTCTGAAAAGTTCTCTGTTCATTATAGTACACGGGTAAAAGCGCAAATCACGTGACCACACACATGCAAACTCTCTGACAAGACCTGCAGCCAGTAGTTCAGCGGGTGAGCATAAACCCCAGGTAAGAGTATAGTGCATGTCAGACAGTTCATCTGCTGGATGATCTCATCTCACTATAGTTGTTAAACGTGATATTGAATATATCTTGTTGTCTCTATCTAACAATTCTTATGTCTTTTGAATCACTTGTTCTCAGTTAACTGTTTTGACTGCGTGCAAAGATAAGCTAATATATTAATTTATGTAACCACATACACTGATTTTGCACATTGACTGATTGCTTACCTTTATCGTTTAAATTTAATGAACGTTATACTGTTATAATGGCCATTATTGGTTATTAAAACTGATATTCTGCAAAAGAGAGGGGGTAAAGTTCATTCTTTTCAATGGAAATGAAAGGAGACCGTTATATTTAAGCCCTGTTTTGTTATAAATATGCAGAGTGAAGATGACACTCATATAAATATTCAGCTACACGAGGCTGTTTGGTGTCTGTTAATCCTAATACCACAATAAAACAAATTTGACTTATATTATGTTTTCATTGTTTAGATACTGAAACAGCAAGCAGGATGAGGTGAAAGAGGTTAAAATGTAACACTATTTCCTTTGAAGATTAACCCATGCATTAGCAGGCAGTTTTTGTTATGTTTATTATTGAATATAGGCTGAGTGAATAGTGTATTGAATAAGCTAAATTGGCTGTAGTGTATGAGTGTGTGTGAATGAGTGTGTATGGGTGATTTCCAATGTTGAGTTGTGGCTGGAAAGGCATCTGCTGCATAAAATATGCTGGAATAGTTGGCAGTTCATTCCACTGCGGCAACCCCAGATAAATAAGGGACTTATGCGAAGAAAAATAAATGAATGAATAGTGTATTTTTTAAAACTCAACAAATATCTTTATGGACAGTATACAGAAATTAAATTGAGATCAAAGTTTGTATTTATTTATTTAATATATATGTTATATATATATATATATATATATATATATATATATATATGCTTTTGTGTTTTATAGAATATGAGTTAATAAAAATATTGGACGTGCATAGATAGATAGCATTTTGATTGAATTTAGTGGGCCGCTCTGGCCCAAAATGCCAGGGCCGATTTTTTTTGCCCCAGTCCAGCCCTGGAGGGAGCATGTAAAGGTTGAACAGGAAAGGTGCCAGAATCAAGCCTTGTGGGACTCCACACATCATGGGTGTCCACCTCGACCTATGGTCACCTATACTGACATGGTAACCTCTACCTTCAAGGTAAGATCTAAACCATTTGAGGACCGTGCCAGATAGCCCAGCCCTATCCAGAAGTATGCTGTGATCGACAGTGTCAAATGCAGCACTGAGATCCAACAATACCAGCACTGTTATTTTACCTGAATCTGTATTTAGGCGTATATCATTGATTATCTTTATAAGAGTGCTCTCTGTACTGTGATGTGCTCTGAAACCAGATTAAAAATTGTCTAAACACCCCCTGAAGTTTAAGAACTTGTTAACCTGGTAAAAACAACTTTTTCTATGATTTTGCCAATGAAAGGGAGATTTGAGATTGGTCTGTAATTGCTCAATAGGGTGTTATCCAGGTTGCTCTTCTTCAAGATGGGTTTAACAACTGCAGTTTTAAGTGAGTTTTGAAAAATCCCTGAGAGAAGTAAAGCATTTACCACTTTTAGAAGATCCATTTCTAAACAGGTAAACACCGAAATCATTTCTACCTAAATCATTCTTTAAATCTATTGACTCCATTATAATGCCTTTTTATATGGGGTTATAAATATGCTTGTATATGCAAAACTCACGTGTCAAAACCTAACCATTTAGGGGGTCTGGGTTTACCTAACTTTCGTTATTATTACTGGGCTGCGAACTGCAGGATTTTAATGTACTGGCGGGACTCTTTTCCATGTAATATTCGAGCAATCACTTCTGCTTGGTTAGCGATAGAACAAAGTGCCTCCCATTCTTCTCTTTCTGCTTTACTCTTTTCAGCACCTCTCCTTAACAAAGATATTCCTAAAAGTAGTTTTATTCTTATTAACTCTATTAAAATATGGTATCAAATTAGAAAATTAAACAAGTTACCAAATACCTCCCCACTTTCTCCGATTTGTTACAATCATGCATTTAAACCCTCTCTTACAAATAAAGTTTTTGAGCAATGCCAAGATAAAGGAGTTTCCAGTGTTAAAGATTTATACATAAATAATATTTTTGCCACCTTGTCACAACTCTCTAAGAAATTCAACCTCCCCCCTTCTAATTTATTAAGGTATCTTCAGGTCAGAAACTATGTCCGTCTAAATATTCCAGACTTTGAAGTTTTATCATTAGAGGGCGAGTTATTTGACTTATTTTTAAACTCTTCAAACGCAAGGGGCCTAATCTATTTATTTGTTAATGCTTTTAATAACAAAACAGATTTTTCTTCTCTTCATTTGAAAGTCGCTTGGGAAGAAGACTTGGGGATTTCAATATCTGAGACTGATTGGGATCAATGCCTTTTATCTGTTTATTTATGTTCCATATATTCTAGACACCATCTTATTCAGTACAAAGTAATACACAGACTTCAATATTCTAAAACAAAGCTGTAAGAATCAGCTCTTTGGTTTAAATCATGTTTAAACTTTGGGGATTCGAATCAAAGATTCGAACATGATTCACATAGAATTATTTAAAGCTTACACTTAACTTAAGTATTTGTCCAGCAAATAGAACGTTTAGTGTAAAGCAATTCTGTATTATATTATTACGTGGCCAACAATAACAATATAAAAACAGTATCTAATTATTTATTAAGCAAGGTAGCAGTATCTGAAGCTGAGGCATTAACTTATAAAGCACACAACACACCAACACGGATCTTAAAACGAAACAAAAGTTTATTGCTACTCTATAACACAAAGTACTAATCTACGTAAAACAAACAAACGCACATACATACACACACGCACAAGCAGTTTGAGGAGAGTTTTGACTGAGTGGATTTAACTTCTAGCCTTTGCTAAGTTCTTAGCATTGCAACCTGAGAGAAACCATAAAAGCAGAGAATTTTGCTATTCTTTACTACTTAAACATAATTCACACCAGATTCAGTAATGGGTAGAAACCTTGTTTGTGCTACTTGCGTTCTGATGTAATTTCTGGTTTCCTCGACTGGTCCAAAGGGAAATCCCGGCGAAGCTGATTGGTCAGCGTAGCAACTTCAGTGACGTGATGGAATTCCCTTGTCGGTGAAGAGGGGTTTCCTTAGTCGGTTGCTAGGGATACGGATGTTGAACAAAGCGGCGTTCGAAGTCCTTCCTGGGTTCCTGTAGTTATGATGAGTTTCAAAGTTTGGATGTGTTGACCCGATGGCTTGTTGTTGAAGCGGTTGCACAAGCAGATCGGGGGTCGAGCCGGCAGCAAGTGAAGGTCGCGGTCTGCTCCGTGATGTAACGAGGCTTCCGGCGAGGCGATGTAACGGCCACAGCACGAGAAGAGCGACGTCCGGGCAGCGACGGCGGTGACGACTGGCAAAGATGACCGGCAAAAGACGACGATGAAATTTCTTTGTTCAAAGTTTTATAGGCTTTGGTAGAGGCTGGGTCTACACAATACTTGTCCAATCAGATAAGGTGCGGGGTGGAGTCACACCCCAATTCTGCCCTCTAGGAGGCCGGGTTGACACCTGGTGTGGGTGCTGCTTTGATAGCATAGTGGTTAAAATAAAGTCTTATAACGTCAACACTTTTCATAGTATGGTTTCTTCATATAAACCAATGCATTTAAAATGTTCCTAGCTTTCAATCGATACCAAACAAAGTATTTCACAAACATTCTGTAGATTTCATTTGTCACTGAGGGCTATTACTCAAGAACTATCTATAACAGTTTTGTTAAACACATGGAACATGTACACACAAAAACCTACAGAAACATAAAGTAAACATACATTACTCAAATAAACTGTTTTACTTAAATGTCCATTAAACTTTGGAAGCGTTTCTGATCGCTTCTGTGTCTGCCTGAGAATGTGTATTCCTTGCAGACGCCAAAGGACAAGCGAACCAAAAGGTACTTCTCAAAAACCGGTTTGGTGGGTTTTTCATTGTAGAGCCTCTTATTGTTTTAGGGTGTAAAGTTAATTAACACGCAACTGTGATGTTGACTGGCTAGGTATCCTGTGGATTTGCCTTTTGCTGGGTGCCTGTGGATTGCTTTGAAAATGAAATCAATCTCAGACTCGTAGGCACCAACCAATCTTTTAAGGATAACATGGTCTGTGGCTTGTTCGGTTCTGGAACGATCCGTTGACTCCCCACATCCCCCATTTGGATGGTGATGTTCCTGGCATGAACATCGGCAGACACTGGAACAAGAGGCATAGGTAGAGAGAGAACAGACACACAAGACACAAACCACATTTCCATTCCATAGACTGAGTTCTGGTGCAGGTTTTAGCTTAAATTGTTCGGGTCAAGAACACAAGGTGTAGTGTAACATTGCCTGAAATAATTCAAATTTAGTTATTTAGCTAGTTTACTTCATTGCAAGTATGGAGTGGCGCTAGCTTCAACTTAAATAAGCAATAATTCTGCAGCAATTGACACTAATTTGGGAGAAGGAGTCAATCCTACTTTTAGGCCCTATGCATGAATTTGCAGGAGTTCCCTGTAGAGGGGACTGGAACTGCAAATCAGTTAGGGAGAGAGAGAGAGAAAGAAGGAAATCAAGAGGTACAGGGATGCAAAAAAACAAGGTAGGTTAAAAACCAGCAATAACAGTGTTGCATATGTGGAGTGGCTCCTCTCTTACTAGAGGTTGTTCTAGTAGTGCTGTAGAGGAGAAAGTATTAGTGTTGTGTTTAACTAGGTGTTCCCTAGAATGTCAAAGGTTATGTTAGTATGTAGAGGGTAGAACAGTTGATCTGTGTCAAGTTGTGGTCCTCCCCCATTTGTTGTTCAATGATGATGGAGCTGTCAAATGTTCATCCAGTAATGGAGGTAGCGGAGTTTGGCATGGGTCAGGAAGGGTTTCAGGACTGAACTGAGGTTTGTCGGAGAAGTGGCAGACGACCCGAACGGCACTTTTGGGAGCCTGAGGGCTTTCACCTGCAAGTGTTTGTTGGTTCAGGCGGTTGTTGCTTCTCCGCTCGGCGACTAGTCAGGCTGAATCTGCTTTTTCCTTTTCCCGTTTCCTGTCCTCCTCTATGCATTTGAGAAACTCTTTCATCATCAATTTCACCAGTTCTTGAGGGTTAAATCCCGGTGGGGCATTTTCCTCTTGCTGGGATTGAGTCTGAGCGTTGTCAGGGTGGAAGTTTTTGGAGTACCTTCGTTGACTCCTTGGACTTGATGATCCAGGGTTTTGATGTCTTCCCTTAGATGGTGACCAGCTTTTGTTTGACCCCCATTGGTTTCTTTCCTGGTGGTGTTCAGGTGAGCGTCGTTGTCCATGCGGTCCATGCCAGTGACTGTTCCTTTGTTTAGGTCTTGTGTCATCGTAGGAGTTCCGTTGTCTATTGGACGAAGACGCATTCCACGCTGGGGATGGTGGTCTCACGCTGTTTGGGCGTTGGGCACCCTCTAGTGCCAGTTCTGGATTCTGGGTGTTAAAGTCAAGAACTTTTGCAGTTTTAGTGTTCTTCTCTAACACCATCTTTTGTTTGTTGTGGGCTTTCTGTGTCAAATCTCGCAATTGCTGGATGCTCATTGTTCGTGGGCATGCGAGTACTCCGAGATGTTGACTTACTGCAGGATGGAGGTTTCTCAGGAAGAGAATCTTAAAGTTCAGGTCTTCTTCCATATTCGGTTCGTTGCGAGTTCCGAAAAAGGCTTGCCTGAGTCGGTTGTAGTAAGCATGTGGGGACTCGTTGCGAGCTTGTTTTGTCTCCAGAGCACCTAACAGTCCTTGATCTGATTCAGGGTTTGCAAACTCTCTGATGAGGGCTTCTTGGATCAAACGGTAATCGTTCTTTACCCGAGCCGGTTGTCGGTCCAGGAAGCTGCGCACCTCAGGGCTGGATGTGGCTCGAAGCAAATACAGTCTTTCTTTGTCAGAGACATTGGGTCTCATTTCCAGGTGGAAATCAATGTCTTGCAAATAAGCGTGGACCTCCAAACCACCTGACACACTTGGAGTAAACTTGCCAATGTTTCTGGCCAGCTTGTCAAGGTCTTTAAGGTCCAGACTGTATGACGATCTGTGACTGGCTATCACAGGCTCTCGTCGCTGTGGGGTAAGGTAAGGCTCTTCAGAAGGTGTTGGCGAAGATCTTCGGCATGGTTTCTCACCTCTTTCAATAGGTGAGAGCTCAGGAACAGGGGATCCTGTCCTGCTTGGCAGGGGCGAGGCTGGTGCACATCTTGTCTTTGGAGGTTCATAGCGCAGTGCATAGGCATGCCTGAGTTCACTGGCGGACTCCTCTTTGATGTCATCCACTTCCTGCATTAGTCTGTCGATCTCATGTCTTGCTTCGCTCAGGTGAGTTTCAAGGGCTTTGATTCTGGCCTTCTTGTCTCTTAAGTCCACCTTCGCTTCCTTCAGTAGCTGTTCAGCGTAATCTAGCTTGTTAGCGACGTCAGCGTGGTCTGCTCTGGCTTGTTCTCTTTGTTCTGTGATGGCCGTTAGAGCTTCTTGTAGTTTGTCGATCTCCTCTTTGGTACCTTCATCCACCTCATTTGCTTGTTCCAGACGTTCCTGAGCCTCTAGCTCTAGCTGCTCGATGCGGGCTTGCAGGCGTGTCAGCTTGTGTTGGAGTTGGGAGGCGTGTCTGTCACTCAACTTGAGGGTGGCTATGAGTGTGTGACTCAAAGTACCAGTGATTTTGGCCAGCTCCTTGTGGTTGAAGCTTTGACTTGGGTCTTGCTTCATGATGCTGTCTATGTTCTCATCCAATTGGTTTTGCGTCAGGGGCTGCAGTGTTTCGGCAGCTTTAGGGAGGAGACTGCCTGTTACAACGCTCAGCCATGTTTCCAGGTCCTTCCAGTGGCCAACAGGATCTTTGGAGTGAGCCATGTTTTGCGGCGGGGGGAGGACTTAGGATTTTAACTGACACAGACCTTGAAGAGAGATAGAGAGGAGAAAAAAAAAAAAAAACAAGGTAGAACAATGCAAACAGAAAAGGAGAAATGTTAATGTGCAATGTTAAGTGTGTACTAATGTTGAGTTAAGTATGGTTCTCTGGAACTGTGGCCCTCTGATGGGTATGCGTGTCTAACTGGTAGTCTCTGTGGAAAGAGTCAGTAGCACAGACACAGTGAGAGAACAGTGAAAGCAAAAGTGATAAGGAGACTAAGGAGTAGGGTGAAAATCTGTAGTTTCCACTTTCCTAGAGAGAGGGTTCCTTTAGCTTTTGTTAAATATAAAATAAGATTTCTAAATATCAGGACTGAAGTTGCTATTAACTTTCTTCTGAAGTGACAGAAAGTAGGACAACAATAACAGTATTGGCTTCTGAATAGGATTGACTCCGTACACCAAATAAATTGTTTCTGGATGCGTGTTTAGAATTGGATCTAATGATGCCTATCTTCTTGGTGACCTAATGAGTGAGAAAGGAGGGGTGAGATCAGAAAATTTTAACAATTAAAAGTGTTCAAGTGTCCCAAACATCTATTAAATGTTTCTAAAATTCTCTGCTTTTTGACTCTCACAAGCACAATCCTTAAACCAGCATCATTAGTCTAGTTAAAAGAAGATAACTAGTAGAAAGAGAGAACAAAGGAGTTAGTTTTCTCTTAGCATTAGGTGTATTTAAGGATGTCAAAGCGGTGGCGCTGTCGAGTTGACACTACAAGAAGTGTTGGTTTTATTGTGTTATATAGTAACTGCTTAGCCTACGTAGTAGAAAAATCTGAATTTTCCTTTTGAAGTTTGGCTAATTGGAGGGCTCCACTAGATGAAAAGACTAAATTCAAATTTGAATTGAACTTAACTTTAAACCTGTACAGAAGTAATAACTTTTATAAATTATCATTAAGATTGATAAGAACACTTATGACTAAATTAAATTATTAATTATTGCTAAAATGATAAAGCCATGCATAAATGAACCATTAATGAAATTAAAATTTCAAAACAATGAAGTTGGTTAGAGTAACATTTAATGCAGTTTATCATTAAATTAAACAATTATAATTTATTTAATCAGTGAGTCTTATCCGTATAAATCAACAATTATAGGAAATGGGTGTTCCTAGATGTTGATGAATGGAAAAAGTATTTATAATTGAATAAGTCAGAGAGCGTTAATTTATAGTAATGAAAACAAAACTATAATACATCACTAATAAAACCAACAGCTTATGTGAGTTCAAACTGATTAAATTCAACAGGCCAGGTACAGCAGGAAAAACAAAAATAAAATAAAACAGTAGTGATTAAACTCAGCAGTTAGATCGTGCACACTTTTAACTTTGCATTTGTCAACTTTTCCAAGGTGAGTAAAGAGAAATAACTGAGATGCAAGAGTTATTTCAAACATCAGCCATACAATGCATTTAAGACCACTAAATGCTACGTGCTATCTATTAGCCTTCGCTGCTACTGGAAATGCATAGACTTCAATGCAAACGCGTTAGCGTTAGTTTAGCTTAGCTTCACGCTATGCTCTTTGTTTACAATTCAAGCTGGCGCTGGCGGACTGCACATGCGCGCTTGAATGTAATTCCGGCAAGTCTCTCTGTACTTCCGGACCAAGGTTGCTGCTATGGCAACGACCACAAAGTGGAATAATAGCAAATTTCACAGTATCACTTGAGATGACGGCGCATCTCACACTGTTCAAGCAAAAAGCACTAGTTAGATTTTATATCTTAACTGTAGAGAACGATTCTCAACTTATGAAAGTGAGACAAAATTAATCAACAGGATTTCTGAGATTAATACAAATCGTGACAGAGATATGGGGGATCTCAGCACTCTGTGTTAAGTCTGTCTAGACTGCAAACACATCCGTGGATTCAAACCACAATTTTAATTGATCAATTTCAAAACTTCTCCTATAAACTACGCCAGGCAGCTTTCTCTGAGCTCCGCGTTTTAAATAATTCACTAAGTCTTAGCAAATTACAGGGCAACAAGAATTTAGTTAGCTATGCTAAATCAGTTACCAGGAGAAAACACAGCTGAGTTTCCATCCGGGAATCGCGGCGTACGAAATCATACTGTGAAGGCCTTATATAACGTTATGAGATAAGCACAAAGGAATACGCTTTGTCTTTCTCTATATGCGCTTTAGAGCGGCTTACAGTGTGTCTCGGCGGACAACTTAAATGAAGTTTTACTTTCTTAACAACACTAAATGCAGTTAAGCAATAAAACAAATGGTACCACAATGAAATTGTGCAGTAGCAAACTTTTGTTCCCTCTAATCTATTATTTCCGGACAAAAATAGAAAAGATTAACTACGTGATTTCTGGGTTTTGTGCTTTAAAAGTTAGATCTGCTTGCCCGAATTATTCTCCACCACTATGTAAGAATCAGCTCTTTGGTTTAAATCATGTTTAAACTTTGGGGATTCGAATCAAAGATTCGAACATGATTCACATAGAATTATTTAAAGCTTACACTTAACTTAAGTATTTGTCCAGCAAATAGAACGTTTAGTGTAAAGCAATTCTGTATTATATTATTACGTGGCCAACAATAACAATATAAAAACAGTATCTAATTATTTATTAAGCAAGGTAGCAGTATCTGAAGCTGAGGCATTAACTTATAAAGCACACAACACACCAACACGGATCTTAAAACGAAACAAAAGTTTATTGCTACTCTATAACACAAAGTACTAATCTACGTAAAACAAACAAACGCACATACATACACACACGCACAAGCAGTTTGAGGAGAGTTTTGACTGAGTGGATTTAACTTCTAGCCTTTGCTAAGTTCTTAGCATTGCAACCTGAGAGAAACCATAAAAGCAGAGAATTTTGCTATTCTTTACTACTTAAACATAATTCACACCAGATTCAGTAATGGGTAGAAACCTTGTTTGTGCTACTTGCGTTCTGATGTAATTTCTGGTTTCCTCGACTGGTCCAAAGGGAAATCCCGGCGAAGCTGATTGGTCAGCGTAGCAACTTCAGTGACGTGATGGAATTCCCTTGTCGGTGAAGAGGGGTTTCCTTAGTCGGTTGCTAGGGATACGGATGTTGAACAAAGCGGCGTTCGAAGTCCTTCCTGGGTTCCTGTAGTTATGATGAGTTTCAAAGTTTGGATGTGTTGACCCGATGGCTTGTTGATGAAGCGGTTGCACAAGCAGATCGGGGGTCGAGCCGGCAGCAAGTGAAGGTCGCGGTCTGCTCCGTGATGTAACGAGGCTTCCGGCGAGGCGATGTAACGGCCACAGCACGAGAAGAGCGACGTCCGGGCAGCGACGGCGGTGACGACTGGCAAAGATGACCGGCAAAAGACGACGATGAAATTTCTTTGTTCAAAGTTTTATAGGCTTTGGTAGAGGCTGGGTCTACACAATACTTGTCCAATCAGATAAGGTGCGGGGTGGAGTCACACCCCAATTCTGCCCTCTAGGAGGCCGGGTTGACACCTGGTGTGGGTGCTGCTTTGATAGCATAGTGGTTAAAATAAAGTCTTATAACGTCAACACTTTTCATAGTATGGTTTCTTCATATAAACCAATGCATTTAAAATGTTCCTAGCTTTCAATCGATACCAAACAAAGTATTTCACAAACATTCTGTAGATTTCATTTGTCACTGAGGGCTATTACTCAAGAACTATCTATAACAGTTTTGTTAAACACATGGAACATGTACACACAAAAACCTACAGAAACATAAAGTAAACATACATTACTCAAATAAACTGTTTTACTTAAATGTCCATTAAACTTTGGAAGCGTTTCTGATCGCTTCTGTGTCTGCCTGAGAATGTGTATTCCTTGCAGACGCCAAAGGACAAGCGAACCAAAAGGTACTTCTCAAAAACCGGTTTGGTGGGTTTTTCATTGTAGAGCCTCTTATTGTTTTAGGGTGTAAAGTTAATTAACACGCAACTGTGATGTTGACTGGCTAGGTATCCTGTGGATTTGCCTTTTGCTGGGTGCCTGTGGATTGCTTTGAAAATGAAATCAATCTCAGACTCGTAGGCACCAACCAATCTTTTAAGGATAACATGGTCTGTGGCTTGTTCGGTTCTGGAACGATCCGTTGACTCCCCACAAAGCTTTGTTCTAAATCAAAGTTTTGGTCTTGTGTTCAATTTCAGAATTTTTGGTTAGAAATATTTCAGTTCTTTGCTAAGGTTTACGATTGTGTTTTACTCCCTGACCCAATGATAGCAATTTTTTTCTGGTAAGATTTTCTTGAAACTCTCAACCGAAATGTACGGTTACCTGTTCACTAGGGCATGATCATAGCTAAAAAAGTTATCCTTTGTTTTTGGAAAAAAAATGTTTTTTTATCCTTTTTTTTTTATTGGCTTCTCGGACTCACCTCCACTTTACATTTGGAAAGAATAAGATATACCACCTCTGGGAATGAAATTTAATAAAATGTGTGATCCGGTCTTTCTTTTTCTGCAACACCATAAAGACTGAGTGTCATTTAAGTTTTTTTTCTCTACATCCATTGCTGTCTTTTTGTAGGTCATATATGTTTTGTATGTCGCCATTTTCTCTTGTTTCTTGCTTTATTTTATATTTTGCACAGATTATTGTCTTATGATGGGTTTGTCTGTCTGTTCTTTGTTTTTCTGTCTGCAAAAATTATAATAAAAAACTATAAAAAAAAAAATGAATAGCTGTTATAATGAAATAGAATCAACCTATCAAATCTCACTAGCCGTTTCTCTTGCACATTCTGATTAAAGAGCAACGAATGAATGAAGGGACTAAGCCAAAAGGAAATGAATACACACACAAACACAAACCACACACACACATATACATATAGGTACATATAGTGTGTTATTATAAGTTCATAATTACTTATCAAATTTGTTTAATTAAGCAATTTATTTTATATAGGCGTGTTGTCTATGTAAACGTTAATAACGTATTTAAATTAATACATGTTAAGTACCTAGACGATGAATCTAAGGAGTATAGTCTACATGTGGCCCAGGATCACAGGTGGAAGCGAAAGAGAAGAGTGGAGGGGCTGCCGGCATTAGTGACGACAGCGGAGGCGACCTCACGCTGGAACTTACATCGGGGCCTGACA